GTTGATATTATATCTCAGTACTATTCCAAAACTTCATTTATTTGTATTTTTTGTACATTGATTTGAAGATGGAAAGCCAAAAATAATTTTATATACACCTTTAAAATCTAAAAAAAGATTTTTCTTAAAACCTTGATAAAAATTGAATCCTTCTATCAAATATAATATCTCTTAGCAATCTATAATAATAAAAAAATATTGATAAGGAAAAATTTAGATATTTCTTTACTTGTGATAGATTTTTTATCTAATACAAAATATGCTATCTTGGAGAAATGATCTACTATCACAAATATGGAGTCAAATGAATTTGAAACTAAAAGATCGATAATAAAATTGATTTAAATAAAAGATAATAATTTTTTAAATATAGATAATGATTGAAGAAGTCTATAAAATTAATGATAAGGAGTTTTTGATCTTGAACAAATATCACATGATTGTACAATTTTTTTAACTACCTTCTTTATTTGATATCACTAAAAATTTCTTCATATGAGCCCCAAAGACTTATTGTATCCAAAATATCTTGTAGTTGGAAAGTTGTGACAAGCTTGAAGAGTATATAATTATACTTCACTTTTCGAAATTTATAAGTATCTCTCAAAATATAATAGATTATTTTTGAATTCAAACTTTGAAATATCACAAAATTTAGATAGATTCTTATTATATTTATGATATTAAATATTTTAAATTCTCTTTAATAAATAAGAGAGTTGAAGGAAATATTTGACTAAAATTTATTAAAAAAATTGAATCAATTATTAATATTGATTTTATTTTTTGAAGATAAAAGTACTATGGCTTTAATAGAATTGTTTGTCCTAAGTAAAGTCTATACATCTATTTCTATAAAGAATGATTAAAAAATATATATATATAATATAAGATTGATACAAAAATTAAAATTATCTTTAAGGCTTCAAATGATGCATCTACTTCTTTATTTTATTCATGTTTGTTTTTATAGATCAAACATATAAGTAGAATGTTACACACATATATTTATTATAATTATTACTTAAGTAATTTAAATAAGTAGAATTAATTAAGAATATATTAATTTCATATATATTAAAGAGAATTTGGACAAGAACTTCATATATTATTTCAAATTTCTAATAAGAGTTTTAATTTTATTTGAAAAGAAAAAAATTAAATTATTACAGATGTGTGTCAATTATTAAGAATTCAACAAGCTCACCATCAAAAATAAGTACTCACTAACTTTGATATTTAGATTTCTAAATTAATTGAATCAAGCTAAGGTCTATACAAAAATAGATCTACAAGAGATATATAATTTGATACATATCAAAAAAATAAAATAAATAGAAGATTGCATTTTGAATCAAGTACGAACATTTTGAATCTAATATCATATCTTTTGGACTTACAATGCACCAACAACTTTTCAACATCTAATAAATGATGTCTTTTGAAAGTTTTTGGAGTCTGTTATATAGATAATATTTTAATCTATTTTAAGAATATAAAAAAAATTGAATTTTATGTTTGTCATGTGTTATAAAAATTAAAAGATATGGGACTTTATGCCAAGATAGAAAAGTATGTATTTTATACTATTTAAGTTAACTTTTTAGAATATATCATTTCAAATAATGGACTTATGATGGATTCTAAGAAAATTCAAACTATTATAGATTGAAAGATCCTAAAAATAATAAGAGATATCTAATATTTTTTGAAATTTGCCAACTACTATTGGATCTCCATTAAAGACTTCTCTGAAGTTGTAGCTCCACTTACACATTTGACTTGTAAAAACAAACTTCAATGGAATCAAGAAGGAAAAATAACATTTGAAGCTTTAAAGACATCCTTTATTTTTGCACCAATCTTATATTGCATTGACTTCTTTAAGCCATTTTTTATAGAAATATATGCATGAAACTTTGCTTTTGATATCATATTATCATAATTGGGAATAGATGATAAACTTCATCTAGTAGCTTTTCATTCCAAAAACTTTTCAACAATCGAGATCAACTACAATATCTATAACAAAAAACTTCTTGCAATCATATATTCATTTTAAGAATAATGCCATTATTTAAAAGGATCTTCTAATCTAGTTATCATATATAAAAATCATAAAAACCTTGAATATTTTATATCAACATGTGTTTTGAATCATTGACAAGCTTACTAGAACATGTCTTTATCAAGATTCAAATTTAAGATCATTTATTGACTAAAAAAATGATAATATTTGTTACATGCATTCTCTAAATAATCTTACTTTGCATCGAAGAAGGCGATGCTACTTTTGATCAACAACAAATAATTTTCTTGAAACTAAAGTATCTTCATCTTCAAGTAATGAAATCAATATTAATTATTGATTCAAATTTTATTAAATAAGTTTAGTCAAGTATGTCTTTTGATTCTTTTATTTGTCATATTAAAGAAAATCCTTCAAAGTCTTATTATATTTTTAAATTTAAATTCAAAAATAATCTATTATTTTTCAAGAAATACTTATATATTCCAAAAAATAAAGCTTAATTACATGTTCTTTAAGCTCATCACGATTTTCCAACAATAAGATATTTTGGATATAATAAGACTTTAGAATTAATATCTTGGAATTTTTGGTGGTTCCAATTGTAGAAGGCAATCAACAATTTTATATAATCATAAAATGTTTGTTAAAGATAAAAAAATCCTCATTTTCAATCTTATAGACTTCTTTAGCCATTACCTATTCTAGAACAATTGTAGTCTTTTATTTCTATGGATTTTATCATGGATCTTCTAGTCTCAAGTTTTTATAACTCTATATTCATAATAGTAGATCTTTCTATCAACAAGGCATATTTTTTTTCATTTATAAAATCTATCATAAGTAAAGAAACAACTAAACTTTTCTTTGACAAAATCTATCGCTATCACAAATTACTTACGGATATCATATTGGATAGAAAAACTCAATTTGTATCGAGATTTTGAAGAATGATTTTTAAGATTCTACAAATGGACATAAAACTATATTTGACTTTCCATCTTTAAATTGATGAACAAAAAAAGTATGTAAATTAAGTTTTGGAGTAGTATTTGAAGTGTACCA